GATATCCAATATTTAAGACAAAATAAACATTATACCATTGGTTTCAGCGCCATTTGTAACAAGGTGCTCAAGAATGAGGCTAGACATATTCCACCAGTCATGTCAAACGGTGATATCATATTCTTATTTGGAGAGCATGTGCAATAAATAATATCGGTATTGACTGGAATAACCAGACGCTAAAAACTGACTTGCGGTTGAGACTTCTGGCGTATTTTGAGGAACATAACTGATGACCATTCACAGTAAAACGGACATGATTGAATGTAAAACAGTTTATATAAATTAATATTACATTATTATATGTGTTGCGACTCATTTGTGCCAATTTCTAGGTCCAAAATATTAGCGATTTAGCTCCTTTAATGAATAACAGTTCTGGTTGTGATACCCTTTTTCAAAATAATCTTCACTGCTACTAAGTCTGTTGAGCGGAAATTCCTTAATTAATTTTATCCCCTCTGCCCAGTACCCATGCAGATGTTTCAGCCTGTCCAACTTTAGTCATCTTGTCAGGGCAGTGTTGCCATCCCTCTTCTCTATCCCGTTTATTATAAGATTTGTTATGACTGGAATCAATAACACATTTTAGAGTTGAATTTTCAAGCTATTATTGTTCTCAATATTCATCAATTGATTATCTGTAATTTTCTAATGATTTGCACACCACCAAATAACCATTTGTGTGTGCAAGGCTTTAACAAAATCAGTGGTATCGCTAAAGTAAACTCAGCAATAAGCCAATGCAGTAGGGTTGTAAAGAATAACAATTTTTTTTTTTTTAATATGTTTGGGTCCCTTTAAGGTTTTATTTTCTCCGAGAGTGGCTAACTGAAGTTTTATAGAGAAATAATGTCTCCCCCCCCCCCCCGGTAATCTTTTTAATATATTTTGACTTTTAATGATGCAATCTTTAGTAATATGAATCCATAGGTTTTGCTTTGGATGATGCAATCTTTAGTAATGTGATTAATATGATGGATTCTCTGGAAATTAGTTGTGTTGAAATAAAAATAAATTTAAAGACACAGACTAGTCATAGACACAAGGAATGACTCAAACTACATAAATAAAAACACAGCTATATCTTACTTTATTGCAGTGTTTGGAATTTCATCAATCAAATAACTGGCTTCTTTAGTCATAAATTTTCTTAGTGTGCCCTTCAAAATTTCGCTGACTTAACCCCTCACCCACAGCTCCCCACTACCACTCCATGGTCCGCCCTTATATTACAAGTCGTATATAATTTACCATACAGGAAAATAGTATTAAAACCCTTTGCTTTGATATTCATGAGATTACATTGTACCAGATTATATTACATTGTTTTTGTAAACCTATATGTACAGTTACTTAGAAGTTAGAATTTCCAGGGAATATGTGACTGTATTACTGTGAATTGCATCATCTTAAATCTTTTTATTGATTTATCAACCACTACTTTAAGACCAGACCAATTTCATGACATGGCTAGGAATTTATATGAAATGAAATGAATTGAAATGGGGAATAACGTCCTACTGTTCTGCTCCGAACTGGGCTAATGAAGACGGGCATAGGCCATACAGTGTGCTATGAGGCAAATTTTTCCCGGACAGCGGCACTATGGCCTACTCTTATATCGAATTCCAACTACTGTCAAGGGATATTTTACGTGCACTCCAATCTGTACACGAGACCTCGATTTTTCTTCCCATTCGAACGACTAGACAGCTGTCCTTGTCAGGCCCTCCGTCCTGCATCACTGACAAGGGGGAACCACGCCGGAAAATCTGGATGAACCTTCTTGGCCAATGCAGGGATCGAACACCCGACCTGCAGGCTAGCGAACCAGCGTCTTACCCACTTAGCCACATGATCCCCAGGAATTTATATTCATAAATATTTATTCATTTTTTTCAAACATAAACATGTATTAAAGGAGCTAAATTGCTATTCTTTGGCGCTTAGAAATGGACACAAATGGGTCACAACGCATATAATAAAGTATTATGAGTGTGTATGAACTGATTTATATTCAGTCGTTTCTGTTTTTACTGTAATTTCTAATCGGTTATGTTTGGCAAAATACGTGAGAAGTACGAATTGAATGGCAGTCTTTGGCATCTGGTTATTCCAGTCTACACCGGTAGCATTCTCTTGTGGGGTATTTTAGCCTCGTTCATCGAGTCACTTCATTAAAAATGGTGCTCAACACCATTCTGGCATGTAATTCAATTTCTCTTAAGGCGCATCTTTTCCCGGTAACATCACAACATCAATGTTGATTTAAATTGACAAATAAGTTGTGTTTTCAATAATGAAGACTGTAGATGATATTGAGTTAGAGACATAGCTACTTTTAGGTATATTACTGTAAAATATCTTTTATCTGTAGTTCAGTGTTGGCTGAAGAAAGTTCCTCTGGATTTTCCAGAGTGATTTCCTCTTGTCAGTGGTGCAGGACAGAGGATCTGGAGATTTTTAAAGAATTTGCAGAAATAAAAAAAATAATAATTCCTTAAAGTACTTTTTTCTTCATTTTAGAACTATAGAATCACTTACAAACTACAAGAGAGTGAAAGTTGAATCTCTAGTAGCAATATCAGTGCAAATATGGTTCAGTTCTGTTCGGTATTTACAAAGTTATGTGGAATGGAAATTTCATCGATCTGTGCTGCTAACACCATCGCCATTTTGTTGTGAAAATTTACTGATGGACCTTTTTTAAATCCGATTGAATTTGAATTTGTTTTCTCAATCCAATGTTTAATAATAAATCTGAGTACATATTAGTATAGATTAAGCCATGAGAAATAATTTGATATTTTAGTAAAATATGCCAATGGTGCTACGTTACTTTAAATTATTGCACTATGTACAGTGTATAATCTTTCAGGAACTGTTTCATATAATATTGATATATACCAGCATATTGTTACAAACCTGTTTATGAATCTATTTATATATACTATTCAAAAAAAGTAGGGGATATTTGATTTTTAAGTGTTATTAAAGTCACCTAATGAAACTGACGAAGAAACAAATGACAAAATGAAATGAAGTTCTCATTCATCGATTTATTCCAAATGATCGTTAGACTAAGTAAGGCACAGACTGACCATTATAAGGGTAAAATGATACCCGGGGTCAAACAGCAAAGTTACCACAGCATCACAACCAAGTCAGTAACGGGTAAATCCTCCTCTGTTTGCCAAACAAGCATTGATCCGACGACGTGGCATACTCCTAATGAGACGTATAAGGTCATTTTGGTCCAGATTGTCCCATTCCTGTTGCAACGCAGCAGCAAGTTCTTGGACATTGGCAGGACGTTGTTGAGGTTGACGTAACCTCTGTCCAAGCATGTCCCAGACATGCTCGATGGGGGAGAGGTCGGGACTCAGTGCTGGCCAAGGTAATGTGGTGATGTTCTGTTGTTGGAGGTAACCTGTAACGATCCTGGCCCTGTGACATCTTGCGTTGTCATCCTGGAAGATGAAACGGCGGCCATGACGTCGTGCGAACGGCACAACATGGACTGCCAAGATGTTGTCCCGGTAGTACTGGCCTGTAACACGCCCTGCAACAACATGTAAAGCCGTTCTTCCAGCAACAGTGATGCCTCCCCACACCATAACAGAACCACCCCCAAATCGATCATGTCTTGGAAGCGCTCGTTTCGACGACGCCACACCCTCCTACGTCTGTCCAAAAAATCAACAGTGAACCTTGACTCATCTGAAAACATCACATTGCTCCAGCGTCGATTATCCCAGTGTTAACGATCCCTACACCAACGACGTCTTGCCTGAATGTGATGATCTCTCAAACAAGGGATCACGCGAGGACGTCGGGCGCGAAGGTGACCCCTATGCAGTCGATTCCGAATCGTCTGGCCACTCACTCTCACACCAGTGTCTGTTTGAAGACGAGCGCTGATCTGATTTGCTGTGATGACACGATTTCTCAAGGCCAAGGTACGGATAAATCGATCCTGGGCTTGAGTTGTCGCCCTTGGTCGACCTGAGCGTGGTCTGTCCTGTACAGATTGTGTATCACGGTATCTGGACCATAGCCTGCTTATGACAGACTGAGAAACATTCATCGTCCGCGCCACAACCGCCTGTGTTGTGCCGATCTGTAGCATGCCAAGGGCACGTAACCTTTCATTTTGGGTAAGCCGACGCATATCAAAATTTGTTTTCTGGTCACTAAAACAATTAAACTGATGTTTCCACCCTGGAATTCAATGCCACAATGACTGTAACATTCAAAGTCAGAGTCGTGCAAATCTTGGGTTGACCCCCATGATGATCCCAAGCATCACCTGCATTCCATGCGGTAGCTATTGGTGCGTTTGGGCGTCACATGTAACTGGAAATGTTTCTTCTGTTAGGTTCTATAGTGACTTTTTTCGGAGTCATTTGCATATTTTAGTATTATGCCCCCAAAATCAAATATCCCCTACTTTTTTTGAATAGTATATTTAAGTCCCTGTAATTGTGTAGTATGTATATTAATTCACTTTGTATTATTTTCATTCTGTTTTTAAGTTCTCAATTAATCATACCACATTAAGGACTGTATCTATTCCACATTGGTGGTATTTAGCGTCCAGATCTGGTCACAATTTAGAACATAAGCAGAATGATTTAAGTGAAAATGGTCAAGACATCTAATGTCTAAGTCTAAGCTTGTTATGCACATATTTATTTATGGATACAAGAATCTGCAGGATGATCATTTGTCGATCATTCCAAGAACATGCGGCATGTACAAGTTTGTAGAATGTATTAAACGTGTATATGAAATGAATTATATCACGATGGTACATGTACTTGTAGAATGTATTAAACATATACATGAAATGAATTATATCACGATGGTACATGTACTTGTAGAATGTATTTAACATGTACATGAAATGAATTATATCATGATGGTACATGTACTTATAGAATGTATTAAACATGATGGTACTTTGAGGTAATCTTTGATTTTTTTTGTCTTTTCAGAAAAGTTTGGGAGTTCTAAAATAGACGATGGGTTGATTGAACGAATGGAAAAATTGACAGGAAAACCTGTTCACCATTTTATCAAAAGGGGAATTTTTTTCTCCCACAGGTTAGTTATTCTTCTCTATGTACATGTATAACAATTTGATTCGGCCATCTTCGTGATTGGCAGTGAAATAGACCAGCAGAGAGATTAACCTGTTGAATTTTTACAAATTTCTGTTTACAAACTATATACATATCTTTGTAAATTGGTATAATGCTACAAATACTTTAATACTAGTCATATTTTTTAAAAACTTAATTCATCGCCAATATGTTGTGAAAACATAATAACAAAATTGAATTGAAGTGGGATCAAACAGGATGAATATACAGGTCACAATTCTATGGAAAACAATTACTGCTTATTACTGAGCGATGTTTCGACTAGGCTTCTCTAGTAATAAGCAGTAATTGTATTCCATAGAATTATGATCTGTATATTCCTGTTCAATTACTTAATACCATTGAAATAATTTAAACAAGATGAAAAGGAACTCATTGTTATGGTTTATTATAATGTGTGTTTCAGTATTTCTGTATTGTATATAATATTTATTACTAAAACAATTTAAACAGGATGAAAAGGAACTCATTGTTGTGGTTGATTATAATAATGTGTGTTTCAGTATTGCTGTATTATATATAATATTAATTATATGATATGATTTTATTTCTGTATTTATTACATGTATATATAATATTAGTTATATGATTTTATTTGTAGAGAAATGCACATGATATTAGATCTGTATGAGAAGAAACAACCATTTTATCTGTACACCGGTAGAGGTCCTTCATCAGGTTCCATGCATTTAGGTCATTTGGTTCCATTTATTTGTACAAAGTAAGTACCTACCAGTATTATCTGTAAATCAATTTAATTAAAGGGTTATTGTTTGCTTTTTTGTTTTGATATTAAACAGAGGTTCACCTAAGAATGTAATGCCAGATTTTAAATAGTTTTCATAAGAATTACAAGCTAGCTTTAGTAATGTTATAGAAATCAGCATAGCTATAACCGGAGCAGCAAAAGCACAGGTGTATCGTCACGCCTCATTTAAGATGAATGCCTTGCGCTTAATCAAACATACATACGTCACAGTATTAACTGTATTTAAAGTAGAAATTTATAAATTGAGCACAACAGTTGTATGGGTGGCAGTTGCTGTATTTCTTTTGGGTTTGCTTCTCAGCGGCGATTCTCTTGTCGGTATCAAGCGTTTGATAGTGACAGGAAAGTCGTTTTTGGAGCGTGGATTTGGCGGAGGTGTGGTAGTTGTTATACATGGAGCTGTTGTGTTTGATTTAATGAGTTCAATTACTAAATGCCTTTCAAACAGTATTGAAATATATACCTTGATAAAAAAATATATAGTTTAAGGATGTTTCCACACACACGATTAATTATTCGGGATATTGTATATGTTGTAATATATTTTAAAATTGCTATTGGGTTTTTTTTATGTAGTAAATATGTTAAAAGGGTAAACTGTACTTTCGAGACTATTGTATGTGCTATTATATATTTTAGACAGATTATTTTTAAATCAGTATATCATCATTTGTTTGCAGGGGATACAAATAATTATAAATATATAACAGTATTACTAAATAAAGCTCAATATGGCTGATCTAAAATTATTATCGCTAAATGTTAGAGGTATGCGGTAAAAATTTAAGCGCGTCAAACTATTTATCTGGTTAAAAGAACAGAATGTTGATATCTTTTTCTTACAAGAAACACACAGTACTAAAACTGAAGAAAATCTCTTGTTGCAAGACTGGGGAGGCCACATAGTCTACTCACACGGTAAAAGCAACTCGGCAGGCACAGCTATTTTATTTCGAGATACATGTGATGTAAATATTGTTAGTGAAATAACCGACGAAAAAGGTTATTATACATGTGTTATAATAGATATAAATAATACAAACTATATTCTTATAAATACGTACAGCCCGAATACTGATTCTGAACAATATAAATATTTTACTCGTTTACATGAATTAATGTTAAAACTAGAAAATGATTCAAAACTTGGTGTTTTTATCGTAGGGGGAGATTTTAACAACATAAAGGACGTAAATGTAGATCGGTCAGGAGGCAATTATAAAGTCAAGAAAAACGGTAGATACACCATTAACAAAATAATACAAAGTTTCGGACTGATAGATATATTTAGAATAAAAAAACCCTGTTTAAAGAAATACACATGGAGGCAGTCAAAACCTCTTATTCAAAGTAGGATTGACTATTGGCTAATAACAGATACTATTCAAAATTATGTTGAAGAATGTTCAATGAAAGTTAACACAATAAGTGATCACTCAGCGATAATATTAAAATTAAAAATGTCTGAAAATGTACGAGGGAATGGTCAATGGATATTTAATAATAGCCTAAATTCCGACAAGAATTACTATGAATATATTAAACTGTCAATAAGGAGGTGGGAAAATGAATTTCATGATGAAAAAGATAAGTGCGGACTTTGGGATTATATAAAGTTTAAAATAAAATCTAATACTATCATTTATTGTAAGAAAAAACAAAGTATTAAACAGAAGCTAAAAGAAGAAATTCTAGGACAGATGGAAAACATTGAAAGCCAACTGTTAGATAACATTAAAAACTCAGAGTATCAAACGTTAGTCAATAAACTAGACATAATATATGAGGATGAAACACGTGGGGCTATTCTGAGATCGAAAATAAAGTGGTATGGCGAGGGAGAAAAAAATACTAAATTTTTCCTGAACTTAGAAAAACAGCGACAGAAAAAAACAATTATAAACCGTATTAAAACGACTCAAGGTTACGAAATAACTTCTCCTGAACAAATATTGAAAGAAATTCATAATTATTATAAAAACCTATATGCATCGTGTGATGAATACCTTAATGTAGAAAAAAACGAATTTACCAGCATAAATCAAAATTTGCCAAAACTAGATGAGTATCAGAGTGATATGTTAGAATATAAAATAGATGAAGATGAGTGTTTTCAAGCAATTAGAGAATTTAAAAAAAACAAATCCCCTGAAAATGATGGCCTGACGGCAGAATTTTACTCTGCGTATTGGCCACTAATTAAAAATTATGTTTTAAACTCCATTAATTATAGTTTTGAAAACAGAACACTCTCTGCGTCCCAAAGGCAATCAACAATTAAATTAATTCCAAAACCTGGTAAAGATAGAAGCTTACTAAGTAACTGGCGGCCTCTGACCCTAATAAACTGTGACGTCAAAATAATAAGTAATGTCTTATCCACTCGATTAAGACATTTTCTTGGTTCACTGATACATGAGAATCAAACAGCTTTCATCCCGGGCAGACACATTCAAGAAAATATCCGTACAATTGACGACTCTTTTCATTTGGCAAATTTAAAAAAGATAACCGGTTTCCTTCTAGCGTTAGATTTCAAGAAAGCTTTTGATAGCATAAGTCACAAATTTTTGTTAAACAGTCTTAAAACATACAGTATAAAACGGAATTTTATAAGATTTATACAAACTCTCTACAATAACGTTAATGGCTGTGTAATAAGCAATGGCTTCACAACTGCATATTTTCCAATAAAGAGGGGAATACGACAAGGAGATCCTAGTAGTACGATTTTATTTAATCTGGTGATTGAAACTTTATGCAATTTTATAAGAAATAATAACAATATTTTAGGAATAAAATTTGGTCAAAAATCAATCAAATTACTTGCCTTTGCCGACGACGTGGCCTGCTTTTTGAGGGATTTTAAATCGGCAAGACACCTATACGAAGTACTGAAAAAATTTAGCAAAGTGTCCGGATTAGAGATAAATGTAACGAAAACAGAAGCCATAGATCTTAACAGCGGAAGCTTGGATTTTCAAACGGATGTGGAAAGCATTGGTTTCATATGTAAAAATAATGACATAAGAATATTGGAAATTGTCTTTTCAAAGGATACAAAAACAACCGATAGAGAAAATTTTGAACCCCAACTAGATGACATAGAAAGAATATTAAGAACTTGGTTGAAAAGAAACCTTACGTTAATAGGTAAAATCCAGGTTATTAAAACTTTTTGTCTATCAAAAATATTATACCCAGCATCAGCCCTAGCTTTTCCTTATTATATTATCAAAAAATTTAATGCAATCGTTTACAAGTTCTTATGGAATGGTCCGGATAAAATTAAAAGGGATGCGATTTGTCAAAATATAGAATATGGAGGTTTAAACATGGTTAGTCTTCAAGAAATGATGACAGCCAGGAGCATATTTTGGTTAAAAAAGATATATACGACCTGGCCACAAACTTGGAAAACTACCTTTGAATTTATAACAAATAAGTTTGGGGGTGATATTCTACCAGCATGTAATTACAAACCTAAATTAAAATTTTTATCGCCGTTTTATCAGGAACTATTTAGTAACTGGCACAAGATTTATACACAAAAGATCGACTTTTCAGTATGTTTAAAAAATCAACTAGTTTGTAACAATAAAAATATAGAAAATAGTATCTATAACCATAAGTATGAGAAAACATTTGGTAAAGGAAAAATAATCTACTTACATGAATTTATCGGAAATAAAGCGAACTTACATATAAAAGATGGGAATGACCAGTTTTATGTAAATAATACAGCGTTAGTAATTAAAAAAATGCTCAAAACCCAAGTGAATCTAAATCGAACGTATAACAAAGCTATAGATGATATCAACAGAAATTTGGAAGCATGGTATAAAAAAGATCTAATAAATATAACTGCTAAAGACATTTATAACCAAATGGTATTAGCTAAATACGAAAAAGCAAAATCGATTACTAAATGGGAGGAAGAACTAAATATACACCAATTTGAAGAAAATGATATAAAAATGATGTTCAAATTAGCTCACCATGTAAATATTAACTCTAAATTACAGAACTTCCAATATAAGTACATCCATAGAATAATTTATACAAATAAATTACTTTGTAAATTAAGACTGACGGAATCAACTCTGTGTTCTTTCTGTCTTTCAGATATTGAAACTGTAAATCATTTGTTTATACACTGTAGTTACACGCAACGAATATGGAACGAAATGTATGAAATTCTTACAAAAGCAAATATAAACGTAAATATAACACAAAAGGAAATTCACCTTGGTTACCTAGATAAATCAGTTTTTGACAATATTAACAAATGGACTTTTGTAAATCAAATAATATTTTTAACTAAGTATTACATATATAAATCAAAAATAGAAGCAAATATTCCTACCCGCGAAAGATACAGAGCATTTTTACAAAGTAAAAAATCCTTAGAACTGGAAATTTTTAAAACTAATAAGAAGATACTTAATAAATGGACATTTTTACCGCATACCCCCAAAAAACACAGAAATAAACAAAAATTATTGTTATTAAATTATATGAACAACACGGTAGCTAAACGTACTTAAGTCCTTTCAACTTTCGACTTTCATTTCGTGGAAAGGATCTGTACTTTAATCTACCGCTTAACAGCTTAAAATTTTCCCTTAAGATGTACAAAAAAGGTCGTTAATAATGTCAAGACTCTGGCCTCCTTAAAGGGGAGATAACACATTTTGGGGGAAAACCAAGCTAAATATAATTACACATTATAAAACAGTTTATTTTATGATCAGTAGTGGAATACCGCGTTTTATCAGTGAAATAAAAGTGTTATTCCACTGGCTAGTTGTTTTTACCTAAAATGATTGTAAAATCATAAAATAAATAGAACATTTGTCGTGAATAACATATTTTATTTCATCTCTAAGCAAGAAAACGTTTATATTTTCACTCATGCTACGCATTCGTGAAAATATAAGTTTTCTTGCTTCTCGATGAAATAAAATATGTTATTCACTCTAAAACGACAAATATCCTATATATCCTTTGAGACTAATAGAAGTAACGTATTCCTTGCACACAATACTAAAGATAAACATCTACTGGCAATAATAAATGAATGTTATATAAATGATTTTGAAATTGTATGATATAATTATATGTACATATGATGTAATGATAAACCCTATCATGTAGTAATACTGTATGATGTACCTGTTATCTGTTATGTAATATTTTTTGAAAAAAAAAAAAAAAAAAAAAATGTACATTGTTACCTGATATGCAATATTTTAAAACACAGCTCACATTAGCCTGGTTGGTTTAGAACAGTATGACATTAAATTGTTAAACCCTATTTCATTTCAAGTGACCATGAGATTAAACTGAAAACAAAAAATTAATAAAGATACATTTATATTGTACTTATTCGGAGTAGGATACTACATGTACTTAACTTAAATTTACATGAAACTTTATGTATGATCAAAGAATGTAATTGAAATAGCATGAAAAACAGATACTGGTAGTGGTAAATTGACTTGTAACATGGACGGGAAATCTTCCTTTGTTCTTTTCATTGAATAAGCAGATTGTTTTCCATCTAGTATATTGGGTGGAGCTTAACCGTGCACACTTTTGCTGGTTTACATTAGTTTTAGTAGAAATCATATAGAGAAGTGGGGTGGGTTTTCTGTGCAATAACAACAAGTATGTTGAGCAGGTGTCAATGTTACAAGTCATTATAGCACGCTTAATTACAGATTTAACGCCTCGGTCTACGGCCTCTGGTTAAACCTGTTAACTCATGAAAGCTGTGCTGTAAATATAACCAAGATGTAGGCTTACATGTGCAGTGTTTTCTTTATGAGGTCAATTTATTATTCAGGTGGCTACAAGAAACATTTGATGTTCCATTAGTGATACAGTTGACAGACGATGAAAAGTTTTTGTGGAAAGATCTCACGGTGGAGGACACACATAAATTATCGTTTGAGAATGCAAAAGATATTATAGCCTGTGGTTTCGATGTGAATAAAACATTTATTTTCAGTGATTATGATTATATTGGGTAAGAAAGATTTCAAAATTGAGTACATTTCGTCGACATTGACTAAGGATGATATGGCAGGCACATAATATACTATTCAAAAAAAGTAGGGGATATTTGATTTTTAAGTGTTATTAAAGTCACCTAATGAAACTGACGAAGAAACAAATGACAAAATGAAATGAAGTTCACATTCATCGATTTATTCCAAATGATCGTTAGACTAAGTAAGGCACAGACTGACCATTATAAGGGTAAAATGATACCCGGGGTCAAACAGCAAAGTTACCACAGCATCACAACCAAGTCAGTAACGGGTAAATCCTCCTCTGTTTGCCAAGCAAGCATTGATCCGACGTGGCATACTCCTAATGAGACGTCTAAAGTCAATTTGGTCCAGATTGTCCCATTCCTGTTGCAACGCAGCAGCAAGTTCTTGGACATTGGCAGGACGTTGTTGACGTTGACGTAACCTCTGTCCAAGCATGTCCCAGACATGCTCGATGGGGGAGAGGTCGGGACTCAGTGCTGGCCAAGGTAATGTGGTGATGTTCTGTTGTTGGAGGTAACCTGTAACGATCCTGGCCCTGTGACATCTTGCGTTGTCATCCTGGAAGATGAAACGGCGGCCATGACGTGGTGCGAACGGCACAACATGGACTGCCAAGATGTTGTCCCGGTAGTACTGGCCTGTAACACGCCCTGCAACAACATGTAAAGCCGTTCTTCCAGCAACAGTGATGCCTCCCCACACCATAACAGAACCACCCCCAAATCGATCATGTCTGATGACGTTAACGTCTTGGAAGCGCTCGTTTCGACGACGCCACACCCTCCTACGTCTGTCCAAAAAATCAACAGTGAACCTTGACTCATCTGAAAACATCACATTGCTCCAGCGTCGATTATCCCAGTGTTGACGATCCCTACACCAACGACGTCATGCCTGAATGTGATGATCTCTCAAACAAGGGATCACGCGAGGACGTCGGGCGCGAAGGTGACCCCTATGCAGTCGATTCCGAATCGTCTGGCCACTCACTCTCACACCAGTGTCTGTTTGAAGACGAGCGCTGATCTGATTTGCTGTGATGACACGATTTCTCAAGGCCAAGGTACGGATAAATCGATCCTGGGCTTGAGTTGTCGCCCTTGGTCGACCTGAGCGTGGTCTGTCCTGTACAGATTGTGTATCACGGTATCTGGACCATAGCCTGCTTATGACAGACTGAGAAACATTCATCGTCCGCGCCACAACCGCCTGTGTTGTGCCGTTCTGTAGCATGCCAAGGGCACGTAACCTTTCATTTTGGGTAAGCCGACGCATATCAAAATTTGTTTTCTGGTCACTAAAACAATTAAACTGATGTTTCCACCCTGGAATTCAATGCCACAATGACTGTAACATTCAAAGTCAGAGTCGTGCAAATCTTGGGTTGGACCCCCATGATGATCCCAAGCATCACCTGCATTCCATGCGGTAGCTATTGGTGCGTTTGGGCGTCACATGTAACTGGAAATGTTTCTTCTGTTAGGTTCTATAGTGACTTTTTTCGTAGTCATTTGCATATTTTAGTATTATGCCCCCAAAATCAAATATCCCCTACTTTTTTTGAATAGTATATCTATAATTATGGAATACTGCTCTTAGAATACTTAGTTTTAATTTTCTGTTTAAAACTAGATTGTCATGCTGTATCATAAGGTCTTTCATTGAGTCAGCTGGCGTGGTTTCTATTCCCTGGTTGTACGTGACAAGGAATAGGGTCCAACCTCGTGGGTTTTCTCCGGGTCCCCCGGTTTCCTTCCACTACTAAAGACCCCTACGCAGAAGCGAATTTTTGAAATAAAATTGAACCATATGTTAGTCCTGAAATGACATAGTTTGTGTCAAAGTGGACCTTAAACTCCATCTCTCTCTCGCTCGCTCTTTGCTGATCTTTAATTCTGTTATCTGTTGAATATGTCAAGTTTAGTTTACCATATGATTTGTTCACATTGTCAAGTTCACGTTTATTAATATGACAATTGCTTTCATATGTCTTAATAAACCACATTTATACTTGAGTTCAATCTTTCATGACTTAAAGGAGCTAAATCGCTAACAATTGGCACCTAGAAATTGACAAAAGTGGGTCGCAACGCATATAATACTGTAATATGAATGTATATAAACTGATTTACATTCAATGGTTTCCGTTTTTATTTCAAATCAGTTATGTTCGGCGAAATAACCCAGCAGTCTCAAGCGAGTGCAAATTTCTAGCGTCTGGTTTGGTTATTCCAGTCTACATACGCCGTTTGATTTGGTGCAATGTGTCTTGCCTCGTCCCTCGAGTCTTTTGATACAACTGGGGCTGAAGCGCATTATGGTATACGATTCATGTACCAATGGTAAAATGTTTATTTATTTTTCCGGTAAGATCACAACATCAATGTTGATTTAATTTGACAAATAAATCGTGTTTTCAATGTTGAAGATTTTGGATGATATTGAGTTAGAGACTTAGCTACTTTAAATCTTAAATGTACCATGAATTCAATATTCTAACTTTATTTTTGCAGTAAATGTTCCGAATTCTACAAGAATATTACCCGTGTTCAAAAATTAGTGACATTTAATCAAGTAAAAGGTATATTTGGTTTTGATGATAGTACATGTATCGGTAAAATTAGTTTCCCTGCTGTACAAGCTGCACCTAGTTTCAGTTCATCATTTCCAGATATATTTGGTGGAAACAAGAAAGTACCTTGTCTTATACCTTGTGCTATAGATCAGGTAATTACATTCTATAGACATTATTATTGTCATCTGTTGGCTTAGGGCAAAAGAGGGGGGAAGGACACAGGTAGAACAGCCAAGAGCAGATCAAATAACCCTATTCTTAAAGATACATTATGGGAGATAAGATAAAGAGATGGCAGTTCTCGCTATAATAGTTAAAAACTAGATAGTGTAAAGGTAATTTGCTGAAAAGAAGCGGGTGAAATTTTTGCATAGTCTCGGTCATCATTACTAAAATCATTAATATAAACAGCATAGTCTCGATTATCCACTTTTTCTGATTTAATTATCAACGGCCGTTAGCGGCATATAGGAATCTAATCCAGCCAACATCGAAGGCTAGCCTTGACATCGAGAGTTTATTATGGTCTGGATAAGTTAATTAATGTCTAAGCAGATTTTGCTCTTGCATAATGCATGTTTAATACAAGGTCATCATGATGTTATCCAATTAATTGCAGTAAACATGTGTAGAGCTCTGTGGCACTCTTATTACCCCCAAAAAAACCCATTAGACCCTTGGTTTAAAATTCTTGTTGGTTTTGGTTTTAGGAAAGAATATGGAGACTTGATGTTAAGTAGAGTCACCTGTTTAACCTCTCACTGCTAAACAACGCTACCTGCCAGTGTAAATTATTAATAACATAATGACCTTTAAACCCTTTCTGTCTTTCATTAACAATAACATTTTTCTTAGTCTTAAACACCTAAATCCATCTATTAAATTTTTATATTTTTTTCAGGATCCATATTTCCGTATGACCAGAGATGTTGCTCCACGACTTCAATATTTAAAACCAGCTCTGTTACATTCTTCATTTTTCCCAGCTTTACAGGGGGCTCAGAGTAAAATGAGTTCAAGTGATCCTACATCTTCTATATTTCTCACGGACACACCTAAAGAAATTAAAAACAAGGTATGAATGTAGAATATGTCAAAACTCGACTTAATTGTAGTATTATGCTCCTAGTCAGGTGTCCTCAATTAGTGCCCCCTTTAGTAGTAAGTGCAGGAGGACCGCACTACACGTAAAACAAAAATCTACAAGATAAACCTGCGGACAAGACAGAAAATAGACATTGCACTAATAAACAAATATCAAATCAAGTGAATGGATCCGGGGGCCAGCCGTAAGCGTCCACTGCGCTGTACAGTCCCGGGCCTGTAGTGACACAGACTTCACTCAAATTTGAAAACAATCAGGAATACAAAAAGGATGTAACAGAAATAATTCGACTGATCTTGACAGTGGTCGTCTCCTCAATGGCGATAGTCTGCCAGTTGACGTCATGAGTTAGAACGTCAAATAATTTTAACAATAACATAAGGGCGATAATCCGGATAGAATCTCGGAAAACGCTAAAATAATAAGTGTAGTGAGCAAACGGTGTTTCCCCAAGGATCTGACAAAGATCAGTATTATAGCCCCAGTGAAGTGTCCTCAAGAATCAATATTAGTGCCCAAGTGAGGTGTCCCACAAGAATCAATATATGTGCCCCCCAGTAGTTTGTTCCCCAAGGATCGATGTTTTGTCCTTTTTATTTGTGTTGCATATCTTGAAAAAGTTAAATAAAATATTGATTCATTTATTTGAATTCTAATGTGAACATTCTTACATTCTCTATTCCAGATTAATAAATATGCATATTCTGGAGGTGGAGCCACTGTAGAAGAGCACAGAGAAAAGGGAGGCAACGTAGAAGTAGATGTATCATATCAATATTTACGTTTCTTCTTAGATGATGATGAGAAGTTAGAAAAACTAGGCAGTGTAAGTTTAATTATTAAATACAGTATTATTATCAAGTAATTTTGGTTTCTAAGATCCTAGTTGGGGGTAACGGTGGCTAAGTGGGTAAGATGCTGGCTCGCTATCCTGAAGGTCGGGTGTTCGATCCCTGCATTGGCCGAGAAAGTTAATCCAGGATTTCCCACGTGGTTCCCCCCTTGTCAGTGATGCAGGACAGATGGCCTGACAGGAACAGCTATCTAGTCGTTCGGATGGCACGAAAAACCGAGGTCCCGTGTACACATTGGCATGCATGTAAAAGATCCCTTGAATTCGATGTAAGAGTAGGCTGTAGTGCCGCTGTCCGGGCAAAATTTCCCTCATGGCACACTGTATGGCGTATGCCCGTCTTCATTAGCCCAGGTCGGAGTAGGACGTTAAACTCCATTTCATTTCATTTCAAGATCCTAGTTAAAGATCCTACTTTTTGTAGAACACCTGATACCTCATTATCATTTTTCACGAAAGTTCACACAATCTGAGATTTAATGTTGATAATTTCTGACAATATAAATAATACAATTGAAACAACTTGTAAAATTTGTTTATATTTTAAGTCTTATACCTATTCGAATTATTCCCTTTATTGATTTTTACTAAAACTGGTATTTAAAAATCAATAGGCTAAATACTCATTGTATTATTTATTTATGTTTCTATATTTTTATATTTATTGCATAATTTATTTTTTACATTTTTTTTACAGGAATATAAGAGTGGAGAGTTATTAACTGGTTTTCTTAAAAAAGAATTAATTACAATTTTACAAGAATTAATCGCAGATCACCAAAAACGACGTATCCTAGTTACAGATGATGATGTTAAACAATTTATGACACCACGAAAATTAAATTATAATTATTAGACTGTAATTTATTTTATCATAATTTAATTTATTTACATTTTCCTGTTACATTCTGTGGCAATGCTCCGATCTGAGTGGCATTTATCTAATAGAAAAAATATTGGACAGCAAATCACATCTTATTTTAAATCTCCTTGCATGGATGTAAATTATTGTTGTCATAAATGTCACGGCAAAAATGAACGCCTACCATTTCATGTTAAATCAAAATCTTATTTATATTTCCTGGTTACATTCTGTGGTGATGCCCAGATTTACATTCAGGCTAAATATTAAGGCTACCTGCATATTTCATCCAGGTCGTGAGATTTAAATAGGATTAGGGCACGTGGTTATTGACGAGATTGTGTGTTAGGGCTAGGGTTAGGGTTAACCCTGTTTACATCTCGTGACCATGACGAAATCTGCAGGTGTCCTTAATATTATACCTAAACCAGATCTACCTTTATTTTCATGTTAAAAAAGAATCTTATTTACACCACTGTTCTGATGCTTTGCTGTGTAACAATAAGTTTCATTATTCATGTAGAAAATGAAAAGGGCATTAGCATTGTAATCTTTAACATTCTGTGTTAAAATGTGTTTGATGTAAATACTGATGGAATAATTATTGTGAAAATATGATGCTAATCTTATATTGTATAATTAAAGGGGCATTATTGGAGATTAGATAAAGAGCTAGCAGTTCTCACTATAATAGTTAATAACTAGATAATGTAAAGGGAATTTGCTGATAATCACAGTCAAATTGGTCCACTCTGAACCGAGATATTAGCCTTTGATTTTTAGGCCTACTAAGTCAGTACGATGAAAAACATAGTCTCAATTATCCATTTTTGGATTAAATCATCAATGAGCGTTGAGCAGCAAATTGGATTCAAATCCAGTAGATATCCGAGGCTAGCGATGACATCTAGAGTTGATTATGGTCTGGATAAGTTAATTAATGTCTAATTAATAATTTAGATAACATTTCAGGCCAATAGAAAGACCTGCAATAGGCAGATTTAGCTCTTGCATAATGTATGTTTAATGGAAATGTCATTCTTTTAAAAAAAAATGAGAAATGTTCACCATTGTGACCTCTTCTATATTTCACAAAAAGATAATTTAGTTCAAGGATCTCAACTTTGGGTAAATTTTTGCCTACCTGGGCGGAAACTTTCATATACATTTACCTGAAAGGAAAATTTGTTTATGATTAGAAAATACATGTGAGTGAAATAACATTGTTATGTACTAATAATATTATTGTTTAAATAGTAATGTTATAACCGAACACAAATTCCTCCTTTGTCAGTTGTTTTATTATAGTGTAAACTCAAATGAGGTAACAAAACAGGTTGAGGTTTTATTTATTTTCGTAAAGTTAACAGAAGTTACCCTTGCATTTATGGATGATCGGTTTCAAGTTTTAATTATTCAACCACTTTATCATTCAGATTTTCAACGAATAACTTGGAACTTTGTTTATAGAATGTGTATATTATTGGTATGTAAATATTATTGAACCTGCAACAACATGACTTAAAAACTCAAACAGGTGCTTACCTGTTAAATATTTGTCTAATAATATACGCCCTCTCTGCACAAAGGGAAGATACATTCCCAGAAAAGTATTTATCGGGTGGTTATTTCCAATAAAAGTATGGCAATTTTGGTATATATGGAAAGTAAAAATATTCAATCTTACTAGAAAAATACTCTTTTCCCTTGTATATGCAATGAATTCTCCTCCGACTTCGCACCCGTTGCTAGGTACCGAGGGAGATAAGTCACGTGACACAAGCAGGGGTATTCCCTGGCAGTTACAATGTTTGGAGAAGGATTTGAAGCAAAATTATGATAAATGAATTAGTTTGAATATGTTTTTAGTCCAAATATATCAACAAATCACCCAGTTTGTATGTGGGAATGTATCTTTAAGTTATGTCTAATCTTGTTTTAAATCTTATTGTAAATAATCCTAGCTGTGCTTTGTTCAGTGTGGCCCAATTGTGTACTTATGCATATTGTACATTTGATATGTCATTATATTGTCTGCAGGTTTAACATATTTTAGAATAGCGAGGGTATAAAGTTATCTTGATCATCTGTGACCTTATCTATTGTAAGATCCATGCTGTGACTGATATATTTTAATAAAATCAATATCAAGTGGACACGTTCAACTGAATTGAACCAAACATGCTATGGCATGTATTACATAACAATTAAAAATCATTAGGTCTTGTGAGGTATTATCCGGTTAGTAAACAAATGTCTTTACATTTGATTTGACTACAGTTTAATCCAGGGCCACATTTAAATAGATTGCTCCCAAATGGGCCCCATGCCCCAAAGGATTCCCAGGAAAGAACAATCTATTCTAGTCTTGTCATGTTAAACTGTCTTCATTTCTATAAAGCAGTCCTTGGCTGTGATTCTGGGGGGGCCTGCCAGAAATGTTTCCAGTTGAACCCTGCTGCTCCTGAGGCCGACCTTCATTACATCACCTGTGTTCAAATTAGATTAGATTATATACAACAATTGAAATTTGACGGCTGGTTCCTGTCATGGAGAATACATACAACACATCAAAGCACATACTTGCGGACACCAGTTTGTTTGAATCCAATCCCTCAATCTTCGTCTGATAAATTTTAATCCCTTTTAATTAGTAGAAAATTAATTATATTAATTTAAGAAAATAAAATCATTCATATCTTTAGTCCCATGGTGAAAGTGTATAATTGTGTAATCCAGGTGAATAATTCAAGTCAATAAGTGTATATATGTACATTTTTGTTACACATATTTTAAAACAATGAACAAACTATGATTCAGTACATAGAATAAATAAATATTCATTATCATATACAAATATCTTTGTTTCATTCTTTATATGTGCATATGGGGGGTTGGATGGCGAATGGTTAACATGTGCACGCTGTATCATAAGGTCTGTCATTGAGTCAACTGGTGTGGTTTCGATTCCCCGGTTCTATGTGACAAGGAGTAGGGTCGCCTGTCCAACCTCATCAGTTTTCTCCAGGTCTTCCGGTTTCATCCCACTGCTAAAGACCCCTACGCGCAAGACTTTACTCAAAGTGAGGTTGTTCAACATGTATAATTTGGAATGCTATGTAGAAATGAAATGAAATGTGCTGGGGTTTAACTTCCTACTGTTCTGCTCTAACTGGTCTAATGAAGATGGGTATGCGCCATACAATGTGCTATGAGGGAAATTTTGCCCGGACAACAGCGCTACGGACTACTCTTATATAGAATTCCAACTGCCAAGGGATCTTTTGCGTGGTTTCCCCATTTCATTGGTGTGTCTAGTCCTTCAGATGAGACGAAAAACCGAGGTCCCGTGTATACATTGGAATGCACGTAAAAGATCCCTTGGCAGTTGGAATTCGATATAAGAGTAGGCGATAGTGCCGCTGCCCGGGCAAAATTTCCCTCATAGCACACAGTAGGGCGTATGCCCGTCTTCATTCATTAGCCCATAATAGTAGCAGAACAGTAAGACGTTAAACCCCATTTCATTTCAGAGCATTAACCATGCGACACAGAAGTGCCACTTTATCCATTTATTTATCGGGTTTTCCAGCAATGGTCTTTCAGCTAACTATGACTCATATTTCTTAGTCAGAATTAGATCATTTCCATGAAACTTACTATAAATTCCTCACAGAGACACAGAACATTTTTGGAATTTTAATCTGGAGTTCTCATTTCTCTTATTTCTAATTCCAATAAGATTATATTCCATAAAATTTGAACATATAACCTTTTTTAGAGAATAATGCCACATCGCATTATGTATAGGCTATAATAAGTTTTATTTTTCTCTGTGTGTGTAAAACGCTTGCAAAACTTTTAATTGATTTTGTAAGGATCTAAGTATGGAATCACACACTTTATTAATCTGTCCACTGTTAAGTACATGTATTTATATGTTTGTCTGCAACACGATCAATGTCAGCGTGTTCTCTAAACAGTGTTTCTAGGAAATGCAATTTCCAGAGAATCATATAGGGTTTTCCCAGGGAATGTGTGCAGTGTATATAAGAGGTGGTTGAGACCCAACATTCACAGTTTGTATTGAAGGTTTCTAAGGAGAAGGTTAGTCTATAATCATGGCGGATAATACAGATGTAATTGTTAATCCTAAAGAGGACATAGTTGATCCATGGACTGTTCAAAGTTCATCTGATAAAGGAGTGGACTATGAGAAATTAATCGGTAAGTCTTGTTTTATTTGAATTAATTTAAACTGAAAACTCACTTGAGGTCACAATTTTTATCTGATTTAAAAAAAAAACATTTTAAAATATCACCGTTCCTCCATAATGAAGGTTGAGTTCAAATGGTCGCTCCTTCTACGCAAATAGTAAAAAAGTATGTAATACTAAGGTCACAATTTTTGTCCGATATTGATGAAACTTAAAATATATGTTTATGTCACAAAAATCTCAGTTCCTTCCGATATTCGCGCATTTCAGAACACAACTTCCTGGATTATAGCCTCTGATTGTACGAAAAGTCGCGGTCTTTTTTTTTTTTTTTTTTTTTTTTGCTTGTTCTCTATCCATCTCTTGCAAAATGTGGGCATATTTTGCATGACAACCACTGGTCTATTTAGTAAATGTAGGTTTCAATTTTATAAAATTTTTTATAGAGAAGTTTGGAAGTATGAGAATTAGCGATGACCTCATAAAACGAATGGAGAGGGTTACAGGAAAACCAGTCCATCATTTTATCAGAAGAGGAATCTTTTTCTCTCACAGGTAAAATCAAATGTTTTAATATCAATTTTCACATTTATCAAAAAATACAGGTGTATATGAGATAATGGAATCAAAAAGTGTGCACAATTTGGAATCTAGAAGTGTCAAGATTTATGTTGTGAACTTTAGCTTTATAGTGGGCTTCAAATTTCTATTTGTCTGATGCGTGCCTGTATGGATGTGACAAAAAAAAAAAAAAAAAAAAAAAAAATGTAGTCCCCACATATATGAATCAGTATGCACAAAAAGAATATAAATCCAATCTATTCCTCGAGAAAAAGAGAAAATAAAAGATATTTGACATTATGCATAATGTACTTTCTACAGGCTAGACAAGTACACCAATTGTTATAGCCTGCTGCAGTTATTTTTAGAATAAAGACTAACAATATATTCCTGGAGAAAATGAAACTCAACATGTCCTTAGTTACAATTGTTAAAAATTATATAGGACCAAGGTCACCGAACCGATTAATATTTTTTATAATAAAGACTGAGAATATATTTTTTTAGAGAAAATGAAAAACTAAATATGTCCTTAGTTACAATTGTTAAACATTATATAGGACCATGGTCACCGAACCGATTAATATTTTTTATAATAAAGACTGAGAATATATTTTTTTTTAGAGAAAATGAAACTAAATATGTCCTTAGTTACTAATGTTTGGAGAAAACGAAACTAAATATGTTCTTAGTTACAAATGTTTGGATACATTCAATAATTACCAAATCAATTTACCTTAAATGAGAGAACTGAGCTTTAACATTCACTCAACCCACTTAGGGCCATTTGGGGACTAACATTAACTATATTACGTTAATTTGCATGCCAATATATTGGGCAGTTCTCTGTAGTGGGACGAGAGAGAAATAGAGAGAGAGATAGAGGGAGCGAGAGAGAGAGAGAGAGATGGGTTTAACATCTGTTCAACACAATCAGGTCATTTCGGAACATTGTTGAACCTTGGGAACCCTCTAACGACAAAACTTATCATTTGATCTGTATGAATGAATTGCTAGGACGATTTAGCTGTTGCCTGGCAATCCATCTTTCTAAGGAATAGTGATGGCTTTTTATACGCCCACATTTTCATGTGGACGTATTATGCCGTCGCCCCTGTCCGTCCGGACGTCCGTCCGTCCACAATTGTTTGTGGACTCTCTACAGGTCACAATTCTTATCCGATTTCGACGAAACTTGAAATATAGGTTTATCCCCAAAAGATCTCGGCTGCTTTCGATATTGGCATGTGTCGGATCGAAACTTCATGGATTATGGCCCCTGTTTGTACGAAAAATCACGTTTTTAGCTTGTGGACCCTATAGAGGTCACAATTTTTATCCGATTTTGTTGAAACTTGAAATGTAAGTTTATAACCCAAAGATCTCAGTTCCTTTCGATATTTGCGCATATCGGACAGTAACTTCCTGAATTATGGCCCCTGATTGTACGAAAAATCACGTTTTTAGCTTGTGGACCCTATAGAAGTCATAATTTTTATCCGATTTAAAAATCCGTTCTATTATATCACCGTTACACCCTAAGGATGACTGAGTTCGAATTTCGTGAAAATCGGCCCAAAATTGACAGACAAAATGGCCGCCGTTCGTTCCCAAATAGCGTAAGAATATGGTATATCTAGGTTGTGGACCCTATAGGGGTCACAATTTTTATCCGATTTTGTTGAAACTTGAAATGTAAGTTTATAACCCAAAGATCTCGGTTCCTTTCGATATTCGCGCATATCGGACCGTAATTTCCTGAATTATGGCCCCTGATTGTACGAAAAATCACGTTTTTAGCTTGTGGACCCTATAGAAGTCATAATTTTTATCCGATTTAAAAAAAACGTATTATTATATCACCGTTACACCCTAGGGACGACTGAATTCGAATTTCGTGAAAATCGGCCCAAAATTGACAGACAAAATGGCCGCCGTTCGTTCTCAAATAGCGTAAGAAAATGGTATATCAAGGTTGTGGACCCTATAGAGGTCACAGTTTTTATCGGATTTTGTTGAAACTTGAAATGTAAGTTTATAACCCAAAGATCTCGGTTCCTTTCAATATTTGACCATATCGGACCGTAACTTCCTGAATTATGGCCCCTGATTGTACGAAAAATCATGTTTTTAGCTTGTGGACCCATTAGAGGTCATAATTTTTATCCGATTTAAAAAACCGTATTATTATATTACCGTTCCACCCTATGGACAGTTGAGTTTGAATTTTGTGAAAATCGCCCCAAAATTGACAGACAAAATGGCCGCCGTTTGTTCTCAAATAGCGTAAAAATATGGTATATCAAGGTTGTGGACCCTATAGAGGTAACAATTTTTATCCGATTTTGTTGAAACTTGAAATGTAAGTTTATAACACAAAGATCTCAGTTCCTTTTGATATATGCGCATATCAAATTGTAATTTCCTGAATTATGGCCCTTGATTGTAGGAAAAATCACTTTCTTGTTAGCTTGTTCTCTATCCACCTCTCGAAAATGTGGGCGTATCCTGCCTGGCAGCCGCTGGTTCAGGACAAGAGATAGAAATGGGGTTTAACATTAACTCAACATAATTTATAAGGTCACATCAGATCACTTTGGCGTGAAAGATCCCTTGGTAGATGGAATTCAGTATAAGAGTAGGTCATAGAGCCACTGTCCAGGCAAAATTTCCCTCATAGCACACTGTATGGCGTATGCCCGTCTTGACTAGCCCAGTAGGACGTTAAACTCAATTTCATTTCATTTTGTAGAGGCACCAAAATCGATCTGGTTTTCCAAAATTACTGAACAAGTCTCCTTCTTTATTGTTCATTGTACGACATGTTTGTTTGAAATAATAATAGTTTGTTATTGTTTGTGTTGTTTTTAGAGAACTAGAAATGATCTTGGAGAAGTATGAGAATAAACAGCCATTTTACCTGTACACTGGGAGAGGTCCATCTTCTGAAGCCATGCACTTGGGTCATTTAATTCCTTTTATATGTACACAGTAAGTAACAATCAATCAATACATTCCAATTTTCATTATGCAAACTTTTCAGACTGCGAAGTATGCCCGTCTTCAATTAGCCCAGGTAAGGTGCAGAAGAGTAGGACGTTAAACCCCATTTCATTTCATTTCATTTTCGATAAAGTGCCCTCCCTTCTGAAAAAATGCTCTCAAATTTTTAAAAGAGTTACCTCAAATACATACCCACGCCAATATCACCATATTCCCATTGCTCAAATGACAATATTGTACCATCTTTTCCTGCTGCTATTCCCTTGTTCCTTTAACCTGCTTAGATTCTTATTGCTGCTGATAGTTCATCATACTAGCCTCTTCTTATTCATAAATCATAAACAATTGATTGAGCTTATTATAGAACTTTATGTAGATACAGTAAATAATAATCATAACAGACAATATCCAGAACTATATAATAACTATAGAGTTATGTTCGACTAAAGAAGTATTAAACAATAAGTCTAAGTGTAGCCTGTTATCTGTATCGCTAACTTGTCTCCTTCATGGGATCACTTTCATATTTATATTCTTGAAGGTGTTACCCCTAGATACATACATTAGAATTAACATCATTAAGTCTTATTAGGCTACTTATTAAGAGGACTATGCTCTTAATGCTATATATATAGTAACTGTTGATGCCTGTTTTCTCTACCTGTAGTTCTTGGTTGTGGCTTATTATGTTCTTGTTCAGATCTTCAGGGCTTAATCATAATCCACCAACCAATTATCAAGGCATGGTATGCCAAGTACCAGAACCCCATATCTCCTATTCTCCTTCCCCTCAATTGCCACATGTTGGATTTGCCTACCCTTGCTCAGAGGTCCAAGTCCTCAAGAGACAATCCATTTCCAAAGGTAAATATGGTCCATGAAATTCAGTGTATAGCGACATACTAATGTTATATTCATATAGTAACCAAATTCAGACATTACCCTTTAAGGAATTTAGATTTTGTTTTGATAAACCCGTTTGCAGTTTATAAAGTTATGTTTCTTTTTCAATTTGTAGATGGCTACAGGAAACATTTGAGGTACCATTGGTAATACAGATGACAGATGACGAAAAATATTTGTGGAAAGATGACATAAAGGATCCTGATCAAACATATAAATTGGCTTACGAGAACGCTAAAGATATCATTGCATGTGGTTTTGATATGAATAAAACATTTATTTTCAGTGATATTGATTATATCAGGTAAGGATAGGACTGCTTATACAAAGCATCGATTTTAAGGCTTTATTTTAATACATTCTAAAAATATAACTTAAAAATATGAAATTATAGCTTTAATAATGCAGCACTAATATTTCCACATAGTTTTAAAGATGCATCCCTGCTTACAAACAGTGTGATTTGATGATATATATGGACGAAAACTAAATTATCTGTCAAAAGATGTTTGAAATCTACTTCAAAACATTTAAATCCGAAAACAACTACCTCATGCCGAGAGAATCTATTTTTTCAGTCTTGGTTATTGAGAGAGAGAATCCATTTCAGATTGTATTTGGTTTTAGTCGCTGTCTATTTACCATAAATATCGAAGCCTAAGTAAATTCATGGATTATCCAATGCCAACTTCTTAACCTCTGTTGAATTGCACACTTTCATCACACCACGAGGATGCCTTTTAGGGATGCCCTCACATTTTTGTCATGTGCGCGCCCCATGATATTTTTCAAGCAATCCAATATTTTTCTAGCACGATTGGGTACCTCTAACATATTGTACAATTTGATTTCAATAGTTCGCTTATGCGTAGGGGTATTTAGAAGTGGAAGGAATCCTAAGAACCCAGAGAAAACCCACGAGGTTGAGCAGGTGACTCTACAATACATATTTAATAGACATTTGACAGAAATCTAAATGCCAAAAAGTAATATACATCCATTTGTCCAAAACATCATTTTCATAAATATATATTTCCTTTAAATTTAAATGTATGTGTTTTTGTAGTGGATGTCCTGAATTTTACAAGAATATCTGTCGAATTGAAAAACATGTGACGTTCAATCAAGTCAAAGCCATATTTGGTTTTAATGAGAGTAGTAATATTGGGCAAGTGAGTTTCCCTGCTATACAAGCAGCACCTAGTTTCAGTTCATCTTTTCCACTTATATTTGGTGGACACACAAGGGTACCATGTCTTATACCTTGTGCTATAGATCAGGTAAAATATTCTTTAATTATTTCACACTTCTCTTCAATAGGGTTAGTTGACCAGTGATCTACGAGGGACATTGTCCCGAGACAGCCACGCTACAGCCTACTCTTTATTTCGAATTCCAACTGTCAAGGGTTCTTTGAGTTGGGTACCTCAGTTGTTTTGTCTATCCGGAATCACCGACAAGGGGAAACCACATCGGAATACCCGAGGAACTTTTTGGGCCATCACGAGACTCGCTAGTTATTCAGCCAGTGCCTTACTCGGTGAAACAAACATTTGTTAGTCCAAAATGATGAGATCGTTAAAACCCACATATATTTGTTAAGAAAGTGCAATAAAACTCATATCTTTGGACGCATATTGGTAAAAGTTGTACCAATTGCCATGATCTTGAATGTAAATATGGTATTTGCAGAGATAAATAAACTTGACAAAAATTAATATTAATAAGAACTGTTTTTGTAGTTTTCCATATTTAATCAATATATCTTCATTTTAGGATCCTTATTTCCGTTTGTGGTTTTTCATATTTAATTGACATTTCTTTATTTTTAGGATCCATATTTCCGTATGACCAGAGATGTTGCACCAAAACTGAAATTTTTGAAACCAGCTCTGCTACATTCCGTATTTTTCCCAGCTTTACAGGGTGCTAAGGGTAAAATGAGCTCAAGTGATCCAACATCTTCGATATTTCTAACTGACACCCAAAAAGAAATTGAAGATAAGGTAAGTGAGTGTTTCAATCTTTATTTTTATACGCCCACATTTTCATGTGGACGTATATTGTCGTCGCCCCTGTCCGTCCGTCCACAATTCGTGGACACTCTACAGGTCACAATTCTTATCCGATTTTGACGAAACTTGAAATAGAGGTTTATCTCTAAACGATCTTGGTTGCTTTTCATACTGGCGTGCCCCTGATTGTACGAAAAATCACGTTTTTAGCTTGTGGACCCTATAGGGGTCACAATTTTAATCCTATTTTGATGAAACTTGAAATGTAAGTTTATAACCCTACGATCTCAGTTCCTTTCGATATTCGCGCAGATCGGACCGTAACTTCCTGAGTTATGGCCCCTGATTGTACGAAAAATCGTAAAAATCAGACCAAAACTGCCGGACAAAATGGCCGCCCCATGTACACAATTAGCGTAAAAATGTGGTATATCAATGCTGTGGACCCTCTAAAGGTCACAATTTCTTCTGATTTTGATGAAACTTGAACTGTAAATTTATAACCCAAAGATCTTGGTTCCTGTCGATATCCGCGCATATCGGATCGTAACTTCTTGAATTATGGCCCATGATTAAACATAAATCACGTTTTTAGCTTGTGGTCCCTGTAGAGGTCACAATTTTTTCTGATTTAAAAGAAATGTGTGAATATATCACCATTACACACTAAGATCTTGGATCCTTTTCATAATCGCGGATACCCGAACTTAACTTTCTGGATTATGGTCCCTGATTGTTCGAAAGATGACATTTTTAGCTTGGGGATTCACATTTTTTTTTCCGATTTTAAAAACCGTTTAAATAGTTCACCATTCCACCATAATGAAGGTTGAATTCGAATTTCGGGAAAATCGAAATGAAACTGTCCAACCAATTGGCCGCTCTTTGTACGCAAAATTGTGTAAAGGTATGCAATACGAAGATTGTCGATCCTCTAGAGGTCACAATTATTATCCGATTCTGATGAAACTTAAAACATATCTTTATATCCCAAAGATCTCAGTCCCTTTTGATATTTGCGCATTTCAAACCATAAATTTCTCTTTCTGGATTATTGCCCCTGATTGTACAAAAACTGTTTGTTTTTAGCTTGTTCTCTATCCATCTCTTGCAAAATGTGGGCCGCTGGCAGCCGCTGGTTTCAGAAAACCAGCACTTTATTCAAGCATTATAGTCTACTGGTAGTTTAAGATTACATCAAACTCTATTTAAATCGTTTCAAGAAGATAGTCCAACTAGAGATTTTATGAAATCAAACATATTTGTGACATTGTTTTTAAACTAAGGATGCCTGTCCTAGTTCACCAAAATAGTGAACAACTATATAGGCAAAACAGTCTATGTTGACATTAATTGTGGGATGGTATTCTGGATGGCGTCCTAGATTTGGACGCCCCCCCCCCCCTTCCTATTCATAGCTTCTAGATCCGCTACTGGACATCATATACATGTTTTAGAAATGTTGTATAATAAATGTATTCTTTAGCCGATTAGATGAGGGTGACAACATTAATAGTAATTTATTTTCTTTACTTAGATAAATAAGTACGCTTATTCTGGTGGTGGAGCAACTCTTGAAGAACATAGGAAAAAAGGAGGTGACCTCGATACTGATGTATCATACCAATATTTACGTTTCTTCTTAGAAGATGATGCTAAATTAGAAAGACTTGGAAGGGTAAAGAAAACTATGGTTAAATTATGTCCAATTTTTATGTTATTTCCCTCGGGTACTGGATAATTGGGTAGTTTCATGCCTTGATCAGTCATGTGACGTCTTGTTCAAATAGGAGCCGCAGTGGCTCGCTAACCTGGAGGTTTAGGGTTTGATCCAGGTGTTTCCCAAGAAGATTCCTACCGATTTTCCGGCGTGGTTTCTCCTTGTCCGTGTAGGACAGAACGGAAAACCCGACAAGGAACAGTTTTAGTCGTCTGAATTGGACACAACAACAAATGTCCAGCGTACATGTTGGAGTGCACGTAAAAGAATCCTTGACGTTATTCAAATAACTGAATACTAATCCTTTCATTATGTCTATCTTACATGATAACGTATTCAATGACATGTTTTTTTTTGTTTTTTTTTATCATTTTAATTTTCTTACTTGACAGGAATATAAGGCAGGAACTTTAGCAACTGGTGACTTAAAGAAAGAGTTAATCGCAGTTCTACAGAAAATAGTAGGTGATCACCAAGCAAAGCGTGAAATGGTCACAAAAGAAACTGTGAAACAATATATGACACCTCGTCGTTTAAATTATACGTTTATATTATAAATACTAAATGAACATTTGCTTATGCCAGGTTTCCACTGTCGTGCGTTGCGTTACGATTAGATGGTCGTGCAAATACAATCGGATACGTTTTGATACCATCAACACGATTGCCACGACGGGCCTCAATGTATAATAAGACCAGATAGGATCACCAAGATTTCTCTATGATTAAAACCACGATTTCTATCGTAGCACGAGTCGTGATAGAAGAAACCTAGCATAATTATTAATTTCTATTGATGTTGTTAAACAAATATATATTTGGTGTTTTGATCTGTAAAACTGATAATGTTCTGTTATATTGTTAAAAAATATCTTTCAGAAATATCTTTCAGAAATATCTTATGAACAAAAAGTATCTTTCGTACATTGATCTGTATAATTGATGATAAGAATCTCATCAGTTTATTTACTGGACATAGATTTGAAATATTTTGTTATAGTTTTGTCTGTATTGTTAATATGTAATAATTTCAAGTTTTTACAAAGTATGTACTAAAAAGGGGAAGATTCTTAAAATACAAAATATCTGATAGGATATATAATATGAATGAATCAATTAATAAAGATATGGTCATGTCTGATTGAAAAGTCTGTCCTGCATAGTATTTATTAGCTTTGATGATGAAAAAATGTAAAATGGTAGATAACTGCAGATTTTTTCACTTTTAAGCCTTTTACCTTCGGTCGAAACACGTATTGGTTTCGTAATGGTTTTATTATTATTTTTTTTGCTGATATTGTTGGCCTCCGTGGAACTTAATATTAAATATTGGAAGTGTTTTACGAATGGGACAAAAATAATCTCAGATTCTCCATATCATCGCCCATCAGAGTTGTTGTAAATATTGAAACCATAATCTCAGATTCTCCATATCTTATGGTTTTCATTTTTGGATTCTTTGGAATAAACCTATCTGAAAAAAATCTTATGTAGAAATTTAAACTTTAAATTATTTTAAGATAAGGCAATACAATTTTGGTTCATTCACAAAGAATGTGATGGTGCAGGGGATGAGGTGATAGCGTGTATATTATACTGCAATTCGATTGGATGACCAATATACAAATTGGATATATGCAAATTGATGTTACTGGTCAGCCAATCGAATTGCAGTATTTCTTAAAATTTCGATTATATCTTAGTTTAAGTTTTCGTGAATAAGGGCCCAGACTTTTATTTTATAAAGATAAGGTGTAGGTGAAAGTTCGAGATCTGCTCCTTCGCCTTCCAGGTATTTCAGGTTCTGTCCCACCCACCCCCTAACATTCATCGAGCCCGTACGCATGTGAGCCCTGTTGATACAAATATGTAAGACGCTAAACCGCAATTCATTTCCTAAATATGAAAACCTAGTATATTCAGACAAAAAACATGACGACGCTGTACGCTGTACGTGCTAAGTTGCCATAAATGATTGATGTGCAGGCAGCTTCATCTCAGACCAAAATAGGAACTCCACATTAGACGTACAAGACAGCTTGAGCTTGTATCACTTAACAAAACAATTGTTTAAGATTAGATTTAATCAAAATTTAACAATTCCAAAATGATCAGTGACATAACAACATACAAAATAGAGAGGAATGGGTTTAACATCTTCTCAACGCTATCTAGGACATTTGTAATAATATAGGGTTTATTTTAGTTCTAGGGAGCGTGCTCTGTTTAATATATTGAAGTGGTTAAACAAATGGGCGACAACGAGAAATAGGCTATAAGTAGGTATTTTGCAAGATTCAAACTTCACGGCCTAATAGCTGACGTATCTATACTTTGTATATGAGAACGAGCGTCGGGGTAAATTTCCCTTTAGTTAGACATCATCCGGCGTTCCGAGCCGTACGCCTAACCGCCTCGGCTTAGAGGCCGGAATCCATACCTCATTCGGAGTTCCTAGGGGAACATCATACCCACAGCCCCCTCGACTTACGTGCCGAGGGAGATCATCTCGTAGGCTCAGAAAGAAGAGCGTAACACCGCAAAACTCAAGCTAGGGGATAGAGAACTTATATTTAGTTTATATTTAATACCATATAGCTGTGTGTGTAGTTTCCTTACATAACCATTGTATTATGGATGTTACAAATATATAAAAACCAACAAAGTGTTTCAGAGTCAATTGATCCCTGGAAATAGTTTTATACACAACGTGAAGTCAAAAGTTCCGAATTGATCATAGTGCCACATTACCGCTATTCGGTGCCGTGACGAAGGATAGTCACATCCGTCCCCGAAGTGTCACACATTTCGGAACTGACATGTGGTTCAATTTTATTTTCATAATTTGCTTGCGTGGGGGTGGGGTGGGGTAGTTCAGTGGGAGGAAATCAGAAGACCCGTAGAAAACAAACGAGGTTTGACAGACAGGGAATTTAATCCACGCCACTTGACTCTACGGCAGACCTTGCGATTTCGTGTGTATCGGTAAATGTTTATTTCTAGGGAATTATATAGGATTTTCCCAGGGAATGTGTACGTGCTAGTATATAAGAGGTGGTTCAGAACCCCGTTCACAGTTTGTATTGAAAGTTTCTAAGGAGAAGGTTAGTCTATAATCATGGCGGATAATACAGATGTAATTGTAAATCCTAAAGAGGATATAGTTGATCCATGGACTGTTCAAAGTTCATCGGAAAAAGGAGTAGACTATGACAAATTAATTGGTAAGTCTTGTTTTACTTGAATGAATTGAAACTGAAAATTAATTGTGAACTGTGGAACGCCCAATTTGAAATTATGTATAGGGAATAAGCAAACTGTGATTAAATTAAACTGCATTTAGCTCACAGATTTAATAATAACAGGGCAGATTAGATTGAGAAAATTGAAGAATGTTTCAGAACTACACAAAATGTGGAACGCCTACAGCATAAGTTGAAAATTTGCAAATCATGTCTACTATTATCGGAATTCTTTTGTCATCATTTATGTATGTCATAAATAAAAACTAAATAATACTAATCAACAAAATTTGCACCTTTAAGATTCAATATTATAATTTATTTTATAGTGAAGTTCCGAAAAACAGAGATTATTAATCAACATTTGCACTTTTCTATTTAAAATATGAAACATGAAATGAAACATGAAATGGGGTTTAACGTCCTATTGTTCTGCTTCGAACTGGGCTAATGAAGATGGGCATACGTCATACAGTGTGCTACGGCCTACTCTTATATCGACTTCCAACTGTCAAGGGATCTATTACGTGCACGCCAATGTGTACACTGGACCTCTGTTTTTCGTTCCATCCGAACGACTAGACAGCTGTCCTTGTCAGGCCCTCCGTCCTGCATCACTGACACGGGGAAATCACGCCAGAAATTCTGGATGAACTTTCTCGGCCAATGCAGGGATCGAACACCCAACCTCCAGGCTAGCGAGCCAGCGTCTTACCCACTTAGTCACCGTGACCCCCATTTAAAAAATGTAGGCTTCAATTTTATAATTTATTCTACAGATCAGTTCGGAATTGAGATTGAAATTCGATTGAGAATACTGGCGTATTTCTCTGAACCTAACTGATTAAAAATTACAGTAAAAACAGAAACGATTGAATGTAAATCAATTTATATACATTCATATTAAATTACTGTATGCGTTGCGACCCATTTGTGTCAATTTCTAGGTCCAAAATATTAGCTACTTAGCTCCTTTAACAAACAGAGAATATTAATCAACAACAACGAAGGATTCAATTTTATAATTTATTCTACAGATCAGTTCGGAAGTATGAGAATTAGCGATGACCTCATTAAACGATTGGAGAAGGTTACAGGAAAACCAGTCCATCATTTTATCAGAAGAGGAATATTTTTCTCTCACAGGTAAAATCAATTTTTTTAATATCATTAGGCATACTAAAATAAAATGAAATATTGTTATTGGAAAATACAAGTGTATATCAGGGCATAATTTAAAGTCTGGAATTGTCAAGACATTTGTTGGGGACTTTCTGCGGCTGCCCATTTAGGTTTATAGTCTCGTTTGTATGAGACAAAAAAAAAACAAAAAAAACCCACTTCTGACACTGTAGGCATTCCTGGGGAAAATGAAACTAAATATGTCCTGATCAAATAAAATTCTATTATTCTATATTCTGTATAAAGTTACAATTGACGAATTGTTAAACACCATATACCGTAAGGACGAGGGTGGGGATCCCGGGGAAAGAGAAATGAAATACGTCCTTAGTTACAGATATTTAGAATTGAAGACTGCAACTTAACTGAACTATGTCGCTTTTCTAGAATGTGATCATTATGTATATCAGCTTAAACATTCATGTCAGTAAATATTTACAATATGAATTAATTATACAAGTCATGCTTTGTATTGATCAAGATCTTTTGAACTAGTTTATTTATTTATTTTATTTTTTTGAGTTCTTCATGTCTTATTCCATATAAAACTTATTTAATATTATCTAAGTTCATTTATGTAATATGTATTGGAGAAGACTTTTATAAGTTGTAAAACTTGTGTCTTATCCAGTTGTTTATTGAACAATAAAATATGTTTAAATTAACATAATTCACTAGGACACACCAGATCACCCCCCCCCCCCCCCCCGTAAGTGTGATTTGACCCATTGTTGTGTTCAATAAGATACATCCATTAACTTTCTGGTGAGTCTGAATAAAATAAACTCAGGAAAAAATCACAACAATGAAGCAATCCAAATCCAAAGACATATAATGATCATTGTTTTACCTTACAATTTGAATTTGGGCATGAATATTTAGGAAATCAATATGGCTCTGTTATCAATGGTTAACTTTCGTTGTTTTCGTAAACATTTTTCTAGTTTTTTATTGATTAATTTGTGTATTCTTGATTCACCTGTGGCTTACTTCAGAATTTCAGGGCGTAGGGACAGATCTGTGGAGTTTATCAAATGTCCTGATTCATTTCACCTACGTTAGAAATAAAGGCATCTGAACCTAATCCCACTTCCCTGGCATCCAAACCGGTTTGGTTTTCCAGAATTACCGAACAGTGCTATAGCAATGATCTTCCGCCAATCTCTAATTCTATATTGTTCATTGTACATTTTTGAAATAATAATAGTTTGTTATTGTTTGTGTTGTTTTTAGAGAACTAGAAATGATCTTAGAGAAGTATGAGAATAAGCAGCCATTTTACCTATACACCGGGAGAGGTCCATCTTCTGAAGCCATGCACTTGGGTCATTTAATACCTTTTATATGTACACAGTAAGTAACAATCAATCAATACTGCGAAGTTAACATGTTACATATAGTCAAAGATTCCGGTGTGATGTATTGAAATAACAAACAAGTTCCAAAGGTAAATCAGTTGTTGTTGTTTGTATTTCAGAGGAGAGCCAAAAAAATCTCTCCTCAATCAACGAATTGAAAAAATCAACTAAAAAAAACTCTCCCAGTTTTGATAAGAAGAGTGATTTAGAAATTAAGTAGAGTGAACTGATATTAAGGAGAGCGATTAGTTAATTAGTTATGTGCATGGGAAATGGTTCTAAGATCAATAGCTACGTGAAATGGGGTCATTCCTGGTTTCATAAATGATAATAAACCCCCAATGACTATGTAAAGGAGAGTGATTTTCAGTTTTAAGGGAGCCCCCCCCCCCACTCCGTCGACATTCAGGTGAGCGGCAGGTGCTTGAGAGCGTTCGGGTGAGCAGCAGGTGCTTGAGAGCGTTCATGTGAGCAGCAGGTGCTTGAGAGCGTTCGCTCGCCTTAAAAATCAATGACTGGTAAATATGGTCCGTGAAATTCATATTGAGGGTGTTATCCGTGTATCGAGATATACTAATGTTATATTCATTGTAATCGAATATCTCACGGGAACCAAATTCAGACATTACCCTTTGAGGAATTGAGATTTTTGATGATAAGCACGTTTGCAGTTTTTAGAATATTTCTTTTTCTATTTGTAGATGGCTACAGGAAACATTTGACGTACCATTGGTAATTCAATTGACTGATGACGAGAAATTTTTGTGGAAAGATATAAAGGATCCTGATCAAACATATAAATTGGCTTACGAGAACGCAAAAGATATCATTGCATGTGGTTTCGATATCAATAAAACATTTATTTTCAGTGATTTTGATTATATCGGGTAAGGATTACATTTTTTAAAAACCTATTTCAATTGCATAAGGCTATCCATTTACCATAAATATCGAAGCCTGAGTAAATTCATGAATTATCCAATGCCAACTCCTTCCGTCACTCCAAGAGGCCTCACAGTTAAGGTATACCCACACATTACATGCGCGCCCCATGATCTACAATAAACGACGAGGTGTCATATATTGCTTTACGATTTCATCTGTGACCTTTTCACGCTTTGCTTGGTGATCACCAATAATTTTCTGTAGAACTGCGATTAATTTTTATACGCCCACATTTTCATGTGGACGTATACTGCCGTCGCCCCTGTCCGCCCGTCCGTCCACAATTGTTTGTGGACACTCGACAGGTCACAATTCTTATCCGATTTTGACGAAACTTGAAATATAGGTTTATCTCCAAAAGATCTCGGCTGCTTTCGATATTGGCATGTATCGGATCGAAACTTCATGGATTATGGCCCTGTTTGTACGAAAAATCACGTTTTTAGCTTGTGGACCCTAAAGAGGTCATAATTTTTATCCGATTTAAAAAAAACCCAACGTATTATTATATCACCGTTACACCCTAAGGCCCAAAATTGACAGACAAAATGACCGCCGTTCGTTCTCAAATAGCGTAAAAATATGGTACATCAAGGTTGTGGACCCTATAGAGGTCACAATTTTTATCCCATTTTGATGAAACTTGAAATACATATTTATAACCCAAAGATCTTGGTTCCTTTCGATATCCGCGCATATTAGATCAAAACTTCCTGAATTATGGCCCTTGATTGTACAAAAAGTCTCGTTTTTAGGATGTGATCCCTCTAGATGTCACAATTTTTATCCGATTTAAAAAAAACGTTTGAATATATCACTGTTACACCCTTATGATGGTTGAGTCCGAATGTCATACAAATCGGACCAAAATTGCCGGACAAAATGGCTGCCCCTCGTACGCAAATATTGTAAATATATGGTATATCAAGGTTTTGGACCCTCTAGAAAGAGGACACAATTTTGATCACATTTTGATGAAACTTTAAACACATGTTTATAACCCAAAGATTATGGTTCCTTTTAATATTCATGCATATCGGATTGTAACTTCCTGAATTATGGCCCTTGATTGTACGAAAAATCACTTCTTTTTTGAGCTTGTTCTCTGTCCATCGCTTGCAAAATGTGGGCGTATCTTGCATGGCAACAGCTTGTTTCTTTAAGACACCAGTTGAAATGCTTCCTGTCTGATATTTCCGGTCAAATAAGAAAAAAACATATTTTAATAAAGAGAGAGAGAGAGAGAGAGGGGGGGGGGGGGGGCGTTTAATGTCCATTCGGCAGACACTAGTTCATTTGGGGGCTAAGATATGCTACAATTTGATTTCAATAATTCACTTGTGAGTGAGGGTATTTAGCAGTGGGAAGAAACTGAATGACTCAGAGAAAACGCATGAGGTTGGGCAGGTGACCCTACAATACATATTTTAACAGATTTTTACAGAAATCTAAATGCCAACCAATAATATACATTCATTTGTCCAAAGCATCATCAATTTATTTTAATGTAAATGTATGTGCTTTTTTCAGTGGATGTCCTGATTTTTACAAGAATATCTGTCGAATTGAAAAAAATGTGACGTTTAATCAAGTGAAAGCTATATTTGGTTTTAATGGGAGTAATAATATTGGGCAAGTGAGTTTCCCTGCTATACAAGCAGCACCTAGTTTCAGTTCATCGTTTCCACTTATATTTGGTGGAAACACGAGGGTACCATGTCTGATTCCCTGTGCTATAGATCAGGTAAAATATTCTTTAATTATTTCACACTTCTCATCAATAGGGTCAGTTGACCAAATGATCAAAGATTGGTCCTATTGCATCAAGTGAAACAAATGAAATGGGGTTGAACTTCCTACTTTTCTGCACTGACTGGGCTAACGAAGACTGGCATACAGTGTGGGCTATGCGGAAAAGTTTGCCCGGACATCGGCGCTACGACCTACTCTTATATCGAATTCTAACTGTCAAGGGTACATTTATTTTTTTACTTGGGCACCTCGTTTTTTTCGTCCATCCTGCATCACAGACAAGAAGACAACGAAAGCAATCCCGAGAACTCCTAGATATCGAGCCAGCGTCTTACTCGATAAATAATTATCCGTTTCACGTATATATGTTTTAACCACCTTGCTATGTAATTTTTCATTTGTCAACGAATTGCAATTAAAGTCATTTGTTAAGAAAGTGCAATAAAAATTAAATCTTTGGACCCATGTTAGTAAAAGTTGTATAAATTGCCCCGATCTTGAATATAAATATGGTATATACTTGACAAACAATTTATATTAACGTTTTTGCGTTTTTCCATATTTAAAGAATATATCTATATTAATTTTTAGGATCTATATTTACGTTTGTGTTTTTTCATTTTTCGTATTTAATCGATATTTCTTTATTTTTAGGATCCATATTTCCGTATGACCAGAGATGTTGCTCCAAAACTGAAATTTTTGAAACCAGCTCTTTTACATTCTGTATTTTTCCCAGCTTTACAGGGGGCTCAGGGTAAAATGAGCTCAAGTGACCCAACATCGTCGATATTTCTAACCGACACTCAACAAGAAATTGAAGATAAGGTAAGTGGTTGTTTCAATCTTGATTATTTTCACCCAATTTCATTTCATTTTGATTTTTTCATAAAACCAGCACTTAATTCAAGCATTATAGTCAACTGATAGTCCAAGATTACACCAAGACAGTCCTACACCAGAAATTTATGAAATCAAACTTCGTACCTGTATTATAGTCAACTGGTAGTCCAAGATTACACCATGACAGTCCTACACCAGAGATTTTATGAAATCAAACTTCGTACCAGTATTATAGTCAACTGGTAGTCCATGATTACGCCAAGACAGTCCTACACGGCAGAGATTTTATGAAATCAAACTTCGTACCAGCATTATAGTCTACTGGTAGTCCAAGATTACGCCAAGACAGTACTACACCAGAGGTTTTATGAAATCAACATATTTATGACGTTTTTTTGGTAAACATAGAGTGCCTCTCTGTGTTCAGTGAAAGAAAGGCAAAGATAGGTTACCAGGCAACAAAAAATATACCCACGGCAACTTATTCATCCAAGTATTTTATACACTTACATTTCAGTGTAAGCATATTATGTTCGTCGGTTCGTGAGTCAACAATTGTCTTGTGAATACGATACATTAGAGATTACAATTTTTGACGTTTTCTTTTCAAATTTGATGCAAAGGACGAACGCCATTGATATTCAGCATTCTGCGACTGCTTCCCCCATTTCCGAAAACCTCGTGAACGCGATAGAGATGTAGTTTTTAACAGATTCTTTTCAAATGTAGTGTGAAGCTTTGTGGCACATAGAGGACAAACCCTATCACTATTCAGCATTCAACAACGTTCATTTCCGGACTCAACTCCCTTTGTCTTGGTCAACATCCACATTTTCCCCCTCGGATAAACTGCTGTAGAGACATTGCTGCTGTGTGACTACCTTAATTTTTTTGGTAAATAAAAAGCAAAATTCTTACATCGTAAAATATCAATGATGTATTACAACGAAAACTGCAACATAACCAATAACAATAACGTTTGCCGTAATTATCAGAAGTTATATTGTAATTGTTATTCATTGCAATAATCAAAACAAACAACATAAATTTAAGGTAGAAGACTTTCGCTGTTAAAACGTTTACAAGATTCTACAAAGTGTCACAACTCTAGAAATAATTGATGAAATTCGCTAGGCATCTTAATTTCACTTATCTGAACAATGCATATTAAATTACATGCAGATCGTACAACTTTTGTCATTAGAGCGTTCTCGAAATTCTACAACATAAGCAAGGGCAATAACTCTAGAAGTAATTAATGGAAATTGTTGAAAATCACTTGTTTTCTGCGTCTGAATAATATAAATAATGCATGCTGTAAGACCGTTTACAAGATTCTATAAAGTGATCATGGGCAATAACTCTGTAAGATTATGAGACATTTCTTAAATTTAACAGACTTATTGACATCAAATACATATTTTAAAAATGTTGAATAATAAGGGCGACGACAATTTTTCAACGTGGATGAATAAAAAGTGTATTTATAGTAATTTAAATGAAAAGTTCTATTTTCTTTACTTAGATAAATAAGTACGCTTATTCTGGTGGTGGAGCAACTCTTGAAAAACATAGGAAAAAAGGAGGTGACCTTGATACTGATGTATCATACCAATATTTGCGTTTCTTTTTAGAAGATGACGCTAAATTAGACAGACTTGGAAAGGTAACTAAAACTACGGTTAAATTATGGTATTTCCCTCGGGTACTGGATAATTGGGTAGTTTCGTACCTTGATCACTGATGTGACTACTTGTTCAAATAGGAGCCGCGGTGGCTCGCTAACCTGGCGGTCTAGGGCTTGGTCCAGGTGTTTGCCGAGAAGATTCCTACCGATTTTCAGGCGTGGTTTCTCCTTGTCAATGTGAGTGCAGGACGCAGGGGCCTGGCAGCAGAGGTCCTGTGTACATGTTGGAGTGTGTATAATTACAAAAGAATGCTTCATATTTCTTTTCTTGATCAAATAACCAAATGCTAATCCTTTTATCATACCCTTTTTTTTACATTATCAAGTATTTAATACCCCTTTTACATAATCAAGTATTTAATAACATGGCCATATTAAAATATGAGGGGGGGGATGGCCGAACGGTTAGCGCGTGCGCGTTTTATCATAAGATCTGGCATTGAGTCAATTGGCGTAGTTTCGATTCCCCGGTTGTACGTGACAAGGAGTAGGGTCGCCTGTCCAACTTTGTGGGTTTTCTCCGGGTCCTCCGGTTTCCTCCCACTGCTAAAGACCCCTACGAGCAAGCGATTTAGGGAATAAAATTGAACCATATGTCGAGCGAACGTTAAAGCTCATCTCTCTCTCTCTCCGTCTCTGTCTTCTCTCTATTACAATATTTTTTTATTTTCTTACTTGACAGGAATATAAGGCAGGAACTTTAGCAACTGGTGACTTGAAGAAAGAATTAATCGCAGTTCTACAGAAAATTATAGGTGATCACCAAGCAGAGCGTAAAAAGGTCACAGATGAAATCGTAAAGCAATATATGACACCTCGTCGTTTAAATTATAAATACTAAATTACTTCAGAACTTTTGCTTTCAATTCATTTCTAATTTTTAAAAAGTAGATGTCGTACATTGATAATAAGAATAATAATAGTACATTCTTATATAGCGCATTCTAAAACTTAACAATTTACACAGTAAAAACGATGGCACTTTACAAAATATGAAATTTAAAATTGTTACAGATAATAAAACTACATAAGAGGAAATTTCAGTAATAAGTATGTACGCGCTTTACAAAATATAAAATTTTAAATAAAACTGTAATAAGATATGTAAAAGAGTAGCTATAAAAACAATAAAAACATGACGATAAAAAGTTTAACATCCGAAATGGCAGTGGAAAAGACGGGTTTTGATTATTTTTTGAAAGTTTCAATGTTCATCACGGCTCTAATTCGCATGTCAGTCCATTCCATAAAATGAGAAGATTCGGTCACCGTAAAATATATTGTTCGCTCGACCTTTGGGGTAAGCAAATGGTGGGGCTTGGGTAAAACGGGTGGTTCTTTGCGGGCGCTTGACGTCGACGTGTTTGCAGAGATATGCCGGTGTTATATCATTCACTATCTTAAATAGTAACACTTTGAACTCAACACGTTCAACTACTAAGAGCCAGTGTAATCTGAACAAAACGAGTAGGATAGACTCACGTTTTCTGGTTCTAGTAACCAATCTCGTGGCAGAATTGTGAAGACTTTGCAACTTTTCAACCGCCTTTTGCCAAGGATATGATACAAACTGGTACAGTAATCCAATCTCGATGTTACTAGGCCATGTACTAACTTTTCTGTTGTCTCTTGACTCAAGCTAAAATTAGTGAGTATTGCCACTGGTTGACGGAATCTAGAATAGTGAACTTCGATTCCAATTATTTAATTCCATCCGTTTATGATCTTGGTATATTATATCCACTGAACGAGAATCGGTTTCAGGCGAGTTACTTGCCCCTGAGTTAGAAATCAGACTCAGCACAACTTAGTTGGCCTGTAAAATTGATAATGTTGTGTTTTGTTGTTAAAAATTGATAATAAGAATCTCGTGAATTTATTTATGAAACCTCATCTATTAAATTATAGATATTAGAAGATTTCACCAATACATTTTGCTTAGAATCCACCTCAAGTTATGTTGTTTAAACCATTTCTGAAAATCATCTGAACTTGATCTGTGCCTTGATCTGTAAAATTGATAACAAGAATCTCATCAATGTATTTTCTGTACATACATTTGAAGTATTTAAATATAGCTTGTGTAACAATATAGATCGAGGGGTATATGCTCTATATTAACAGATATTGGTTTTAGGTGAATATGGGAATAGATGTTGGCAATAGTCAAATTATTGTTTTGAGATAAATTGGGAATAACAGAAATCTATGACACTATTATACATGAAAAGTTCTATAGGACGAAAAACATGATGTTTCGATGGGTTAAAATGATATCATGCCATCACTTGTGTTGGAAAATTCCTATTGCATCATTTGGCTTAGTATCCAATAATATCAGTAATTGCACAGATTTGAGCGTGATAGACTTCAAGGCCAATACGAATATGGGTCCTATAAAAAAGACTCTGTCGGGCCTTTAAGATCAGATATCATTGGGTTCCGGACATATACCATGCAAGTTCGGTGGGGATGACCATCTGCGTTCCTAGAGACTGCCACTGAATTCCCAGAGAGGGTGGATATCGCCTTGGTTCTTTAGATGACCATATGATGTAGCGGTTTCCGGAGTCTAGCCATGCTGGTTAGACTTTAACAGGAGTTGGGGTTGAGAGAAAGATGCTAATGTAATCTATTAGGCATTGTAACCATATGTATCCAGCTTGACATGTAATGTAGAACTGAACTGTTGCATTGTTAATGAGATAGTAAGAAGAAAATACACAACGTGAAAAGGAATCCAAAGAAGATAATTACAAATAATAGACGATCACAGGGCTATTAAAATATGTAGCAGAAGAGAGTATGCGTCACACGTTGGATGTGGGGAGTCTTCGGCTTACTGGCCTTCCACATCTAGCCAGCGATTCATACCACGCTTGTCAGTTTGCAGAATATATTTAATGATTATATTACAGTTAAAAGGGAGAAGATTATTAAAACACAAAATTTCTGTAAGAAAATTTAAGAGGGTGGGTTCATATAATTTGAATAAATTAATCAGCGTAAGGTCATGTATTTTGCCAATATATATGCACACATTTATTAAAATGACTTGTAATTATCAGGGTAATTATCGAAGTATCACTACTGGGCAACACGACTTCTCATAATATGATTATCAGGTTCCATGATTGCATACTGAGCTGCTTCTGGTAACCTAGGGCTATTTACTCTTGGCAATAATGAGATTGTCTTTTTGTATTTTGAAGAAAAAAACCTCCAGATAATGCGGCCATTTTTAAGAGAAGTGAGAGTATCTGAGAACCAACATATTTGTATACGGTCCAATGTTTGGCACAACCTATCTCTCATGCTCTTAAAACTGTATTGACAATTAGCATGATTTAATATAAGACAAGTAATATTGTGTTTACAAATCAATGTATTTACCTACTTAGAACTATTCTATTCAACTGTATTAAAAACCTTAATGAGTTTTCTTGTTTTCATGTGATACAAGGTTAAGCAACGGCATCGCCCATCCATCCACAGGTTATTATTCTAAGCAAATATTGAAACCATACCCCACTCATACTGACCAAAGACTTAAAGATACATTATGTAGGATTTAGGTAAAGAGCTGGCCATTCTTACTATAATATATTGCAAATAGGTAATGAAAAATGAATATATTTTGCCACGAAATTATGGAAGGCCAAATGGGACAATATTCATGATTCTTGTTTCTACATTCCAGTTGGTTTCTAAAAAAAATCAGTCTTAATTGTCAAGTACCATTGTCATTGTAATAAACGAAGTCTCGATTTTTAGTCCTTCAATCGGCAGTCTCAATGAACGACGTCCATTTTATAGTTTAATGAAGATATTGCAGATATTATCTATGCCACTCAATATCTTAACCATCTGATGCTCTAGGGAGTTGATTATAGCCTTTTCATGTCAATAAATGTCTATAACAAACAATGATATATAACTCCTACAACCTTTTGTAATAGCTAAAAGATATTTAACCTGAAGATCTTAAGAGATTTCTATAAACCAATTTCTGCTTCCTTAGTTAGTAGCTTGTAAAAATTTGTGCACACCTTAATTTCGTTTGTGTACGCATTGCAAAACAGCATAGGGTAAATAGTGGTATCTGGCAATATATATGATAAAAGCTTGTATTAATTTGAACAAGAGCTGTTGATACATTCTTCCTGTTATTGTAAAAGACACTGGCTTTGAGTCACACAATTTTATTTTTTCTTTGATATTCATATGGTTGTTTTGATATGACAAGGCGAAAGTGGTTAACTAGTCTGCCGCTATACGAAATACTATAAATATGGGTATCAAAAAACATAATCCGAACCCTAACCCTGATAATAGATATTGGTGGACTAATGAACCCGCGGACTAGTGCACCTTAACCTTAACCCTAACCCAACCACTATAATAGATATCGGACTAGTGAACCCGTGGACTAGTGAGCATTCCAATGACAAAGCTCATGCACCAATGTTGATGTATCACTGTGGGATGTTGTTACATAACAATTAAAAGTGAAGTAAGATTAGTAACATCATGTTTACCACTAGTAGGAAAATCCTATTGCGTCATTTGGCTTAGTAACCAGTCATTATAATTAATTACGTTATATTTGACCAATTAAATAATTGAAAGCCGAAAACCATGTCAATAAACTCAATCTCCGAATTAGGGGGTGGAGATAAAGACATGATAATTTTCAGTATTGTATTGTAACCTAAGCTTGTAACCTATGTATCCAGTGCTTGGTATAAAATGTAGAAACGAACTGATGCATTCTTATTCCTGGTAGATAAACGCCTTAACGGCTGAGATAAAATATATACACAACGTGAGTCCTAGGAAGAGAATAACAAACTGATATAACCAGAGACAATACTAGAAGATCACAGGGCTATTAAAATATATAGCAGAGAAGAGGGTGTGCGTCTCACGTTGGTTGTGGGGAGTTTTTATGCGTCGTGGGCTTTCCACATCTAGCCAGCGACTCATAGCACTGCTTATCGTTACATTAGGGCTTTTAAGGGGTCTTCTCCGGTTAGTAAAAAAACAATGATTTTAGATTTGATGTGATTCGATTTGAGTTTCATCCACAGCCGGCTTTAAACAAATTGCTCCCAATTGGGACCTGTACCCTAAAGGTCCCCAGGATATAACAATCTATTCTAGTCTGGTCATGTAAAACTGTCTTCATTTCACTAAAGCAGACCTTGGCTGTGAAACTGTAGGCCTACTGTAGCAGTTATCTTGTACAGAGCTATAAGAAGACTGTTCGTAATACCTTTGTGAAACATATAGGAAGAATAAGTGAAAACATTACTATGAAGACCATATTTTCTTCATAGCCCTAGTTGATAGAGAACAGTAGGACGCTAAACCCCAATTCATTTCATAAATAAGACGACCCATATTCAGGCCAATGCCATTACGACGCCGTGCCAAGCTATGATTGATGTGCATGGAGCTTTATCTCAGACCAAAATAGGAATTTTTAGAATAGACATACAAGGCAGCACACATTACTTAACAAGACGTTTAGCATGACCCCAAGATTAGATTTATGCACACTTTAACAATTCCAACGGGTTTGTGACAGAAAATATAAAATGATGAAAATGTTATAAAAAGGGTATAGCATTAACCATCCGACAGATACATCAGCAGGTTTTTCTAGGATTGGGTTTTCAGAGCATTGACCGTGCGACAGATGCATCAGCAGGTTTTTCTAGGATTGGGGTTTGACAGCATTGACCGTGCGACAGATGCATCAGCAGGTTTTTCCTGGAGTAGATTTTTAGAGCATTAACCATGCGCCAGAGGTTCCAGATTATCCATTTATTTAATTCAATTCAGAGGGAATTATACACACATTTCGGAACTGACATGTGGTTCAATTTTATTTTCATAATCTACTTGCGTGGGGGGGGGGGTCAGTGGGAGGAAATCAATTTTATTTTCATAATTTGCTTGCGTGGGGGTGGGGTGGGGTAGTTCAGTGGGAGGAAATCAGAAGACCCGTTGAAAACAAACGAGGTTTGACAGGCAGGGAATTGAATCCACGCCAGTTGACTCTACGGCAGACCTTGTGATTTCGTGTGTATCGGTAAAGGTTTATTTCTAGGGAATTATATAGGGTTTTCCCAGGGAATGTGTAGTCCTAGTACATTGTATATAAAAGGTGCCTCAGAATCCAGTTCACAGTTTGTATTGAAGGGTTCTAAGGAGAAGGTTAGTCTACAATCATGGCGGATAATACAGATGTAATTGTAAATCCCAAGGAGGACATAGTTGATCCATGGACTGTTCAAAGCGCATCGGACAAAGGAGTGGACTATGACAGATTAATTGGTAAGTCTTGTTTTACTTTAATTAATTGAAACTGTGGAAGCTCAATGTCAAATTACTCGTATTTATAGGGAAAATCAAACTGAGACTGAAAAATTAAAATAAATAAAATGAAGATCTATAAAAAATGTGAAGCGCATACAGCACAAATTGGAAATTCCCAAACCAGAGGCAAACATGTCTACTCGTATCAGAATTGATATTTCATCATTTACGTATGTTACAATTAAAATCAAGAAACTAGAGAATATTAATCAACCAAATTTGCACGTTTCTATTCAAAAAAAATGTTAAAATTCAATTTTATGATTTATTTTATAGATAAATTCGATTATGAGAATTACATATAATTTTATGATTTATTTTATAGATAAATTCGATTATGAGAATTACATATAATTTTATGATTTATTTCATAGATAAATTCGATTATGAGAATTACATATAATTTTATAATTTATCTTATAGATAAATTCGATTATGAGAATTACATATGCCGCAATAGATTAAAGTAGCTAAGTCTCTAACTTATCGGGAAAAGATGGCCTTCTGATATCCAATATTTAAGACAAAATAAACATTTTACAATTGGTATACGAAAAACGAGGCTAGGCATATTCCACAAGTCATGTCAAACGGTGACGCTATTTTCTTATCTGGAGAGCAAGCCCGATAAATAATATCGGCGTAGACTGGAATAACCAGACGCTAGAGATTGAAATTCGATTGAGAATACTGGCGTATTTCGCTGAACCTAACTGATTAAAAATTACAGTAAAAACAGAAACGATTGAATGTAAATCAATTTATATACATTCATATTAAATTACTGTATGCGTTGCGACCCATTTGTGTCAATTTCTAGGTACAAAATATTAGCTACTTAGCTCCTTTAACAAACAGAGAATATTAATCAACAACAACGAAGGATTCAATTTTATAATTTATTCTACAGATCAGTTCGGAAGTATGAGAATTAGCGATGACCTCATTAAACGATTGGAGAAGGTTACAGGAAAACCAGTCCATCATTTTATCAGAAGGGGAATATTTTTCTCTCACAGGTAAAATCAAATGTTTTAATATCATTAGGCATACTTAAATGAAATGAAATATTGTTATTATAAAACACAAGTGTATATATCAGTACACAATTTAAAGTCTGGAATTGTCAAGAAATTTGTTGGGGACTTTCTGCGGCTGCACATTTAGGTTTATAGTGGGCTTCAAATACCAATTTGTTTGATGTTTGCCTGGTCGTTTGGATGGGACAAAAAAAACCCCCAAAAAACACTACAGTCCCCACATATTTGAAGCAGTATGCACAGAAAATAAAAAAATAACCGTTTGAATTGGTTTTAAGGATGTTTTCTTATCACAGTCCAGGGTGAAAATTGTGTGATTTAGAAAAACTTGTGAAAGAGCTGGTGGTGGATGCATGTGCATGCTGACATCCTGTGTTTGTAAACAATGATTTAATTCTATGAAAACAATCGATAATTACCTACTCTATTGTGTGGAAAATAGATCATCATGAATTTAAATTCAACCAGAACAATGTTTTTCTATAGGCTAGGCTTAGTCCAATTGTTATTATAGTCTGTTGTAGCTATTTTTAGAATAAAGACTAATAATACATTTTTGGATAAAATAAAACTAAATATGTCCTTAGTTACACCAGGGGCGTGGTGACCCATGAATTTGCATGAGGAACAAGATCCCGTCCGCCGCCCCCTCCCCCCCCCCCCCAAAAAAAAGAAAATATTTATATGTTTGTGTGGGATGTGTGGGAGAGGGGGTGGGATGGCAGTCCCTCCCAGTGCCACAGGGTAATATTGGGCTGTGTGGAACATGCTAGAGTCGATATGTAGCATATCTGACCCACGGTATATGTTTGACATGGTTGAGTATTATGAATATAATTATCATGTGATTTTTGCCATTTCCGAGGGGCGCCAAAACTCAAGGGGCGCAAAATCTCAAGACCATGACACAAAGCACATCATTGAATGCCTCTCATTTAGCCCCTGAGTTACACCATGTACGTGAAAAAGGGGTGGGTAGGAGATCCTGGGGAAAGAGGAATTAACTACGTACTTTGTTACAAATGTTGAGAATGAATATGAATACGAAGAACAGATGGAAAATATGTTCATGCATGTAACAATCTTACTTTATGAATGCGATGCAGAGATGCAGGTAAAGTACCCAGTTAACATATCTGTTGCGTTGAAGATACTCGTCAAAGCAAGCAAATGGTCAGTTCACGAAAGGATCCAACACAATAGAAATGAGAAGCGCAGTTTATTTACACTTTCTGAACAACAGTGCATTTAGCTCTAATCCACACTTT